AGCTCCCTCTCAGTAGGCATCAGCTGCATGTTCTTTCTGTTATCCTTTCCCACAGCTCTCTATGTCTCCCACGCTTTCTGCTCCTCACTCTTAAGTCAGCCCTGTCGTTCCCGCGGCTCCTCACGGAGCCTTTGAATGGGAAGAGTCAAGCACCTGCTGGGCTGGTTCAGGGGCTGTGCAGCGCTGACCGCTCAGGTGGAAGCGTAGTGGCCTGCTTTGTCTGGCTCTGGGATTACTGGGGCAGCTAATCTGCATCTTTCACTTTCAGCAGACTTGATTAAAAGAAAAAAAAAGTGCAAATTTCATATCTTGACAGTATGAACCTTTTATTAATATTATTTATTATTGTCTGAATCCCGCCCCCGCGTCTGTCACTAGTGACTTCAAAAAATTACAGGGACAAAAGGACTGTGATTTCTGAGCACAGTTTCCGTAAGAAGCAGGGGTACAAATGCTGTGTGACAGGGGTGACAGAAGACTTCTGTGCTGCTAGAATGTGGGATTGCACTATGACAACCTGGACTGGATTTCCATTGGAGCCTCAGACCTTAATGTGAGCATTTATAAAGAAAAAAAATCATTGGCAAGGCCCCTGAGGAAGAGGTCTTCCTTCCAAATGCAGAGCTAAAGGGTGGTCTCGGAAGTCTGGGTTGAGAACCAGCTTCACAGCATTGTTGCTAGGATTACCTTGTAGGTATAAGGTGTTCTCCCAATAAATAGTTACCATATTAACTGCAGCAGCAACCTTAGATTTTTTTTTTCCCCCCTCTTCTCTGGGTGTTGCTATCCTAGCAGACTTCAGCACTACAGATGTGCTTTGTCTGCATGGCTTTGATCAGTACTGTCTTTCTATTGGTGACATTAGTGCTGAGGGCTTCAAAAGGGCTTGCTTATTGCCTTGAAAGTCAAATTCAGCAGTCATTATCCAGATATGTGCCTGTCCTGTTTAATGTGCTTTTTCAGTACTTCCTCTCCCTTTCTGCCCTGCAGCTGAGTATGGAGTGCTTGTATCTCTTTAGGTAGAACTTTAGCTATTTATATTAGGACTCAAAAAGAAACAGCTGGGAGAGCAGAAAACCTGCTTGATGTTTTATCAGTTTTTCTGTGAATTCAGAAGATCCCACTCCCGGATGAGAAATGCAGTAGAACTCTCAAAAAAGCCCTGTGCCAACGTTTTCTTTTTCCCCTGGAATTGGTTCAGTCTGTTGTCGTGGCCTGTCCGTGCTCCCTTGGCTGTCAGCAGCCTCTTTGGCTTTGTTTAGTTTTACCAATCCCACACCCACTGTGTGTAAACACTGCATGAGATTCAGTTGCTTAGAAAAAGAAAAATGACAATTGGCTTGTTAAGCAAGTGAGCACAAACCTGCGAAGGCACTGTACTTCTTTTTTTAAAAAGCCATTTTACATGCAACTTGATATTCAGACAGTATAAACTGCTCCAAACTGCATGCTTCAGAGGATAGGATAGCTAGAAATACAGTATACTGATTAACCTGTTTGATCTCCTTTCAGAACATTCCTCAAATACTGATCTCATCTTTATTTCTTTTTAGAAGTACCATAGATGTACTAGGGAAGAAAACAGGAATTAGATGCCTTTTCTATTACATGGTCACGTTAAAAGGAATACTTCTGTTTTGAAAATACTGTGCTAGTCTCCAGGATTCGTTTCTCTCCGCATTTTTGGCTTTAAAGAGAAGGGTGCTCAATCTGTATGGTCTTTATCTGCATGACAATACATCTTTATCTCTTTTGAAGCATTGTTTGTATTTGCTTAGTTTTGGCAGAAGTACATGGCAATGGAAGTCGAAATGATGGTGGTTACAGGCATTTTCACTCCCATTACCTAACTATTTGAGTGGCTTTTGTTCAGCTGTTGTTCCCGGTGGGGAAACTGCTCCGATTTCGGACAGTTTACACTGTCTCTACTACCAATGTCTTCAAGAATCCCATCTAATACGGTTTTATAGGAAAAATAGTGTAGGTGGGCATTGAGTCTGTAGATGCTTGATTTCTATACATCCAGGAAGAGTTATCCTTTCAGTTCTTGCAACCTGCTGTTGTTGTTTCTTAACATGTATGGCATGATGCAAAGTGATAAACATTTCTCCTGCTAAGAGTACAAATATCCTCCACGTTTCTCTCTCTTCCTCCTGGCTGATTGAAGCAGGCAAACTTTTATTTGCCAGGTTTCTTATGCTCAGCCACTGATTTGTGATCTTTGTATTGAGTAGGATGCATCCTTTCAGAATGTCAATTAGGAGCCTAGGGAGCTGGGTTTGGTGCCTGACTCCACTTCAGAGCAAAATTATGATCATTTTGTGTGTGTGTGAATTTTGGGAACACTTCTGTAACTTTTGGGTATGTTCAGTGCTATTAGTGATTTCTGTGTACAGAATGTAGTCTTCATTAATTCTGTATCAGGTGTAAACCATCAGCAGAAGAGGGAGAAAGATGTGTTGTCACCAGCAAAATTTGATTAGAACATGGAGGTAAGAACAGTGAGCAAAATTTCAAAAGCGAGGGGGGAGTTTAATTTTACTCTGGGTGTATAGAGCTGTGCTGTATCTGGGCCCTGTAGTTCTGGAAGCCAGGTGGGCTGGAGCTGCCTGTGGACCACACCAACAGCAAGAGGAGGATTTGGCTGCTTTTGTTTCTTTTTGCTGTTGGTATCTGATTTATTTTTAGGAGCAGGGCTTTGGTACTTCTTTTGGATGAGTGGTTATTATATTCAGGTAGTAATTGCCCCATGGAGCAGGTGTCAGGCAGTTTGACCTCTTTGCATAAGAGTCTTCAGTGAGTTGTGCTGTTTGGTACTTCTGTTCCTAGGTGGAGATCAATCTGAAAAGGGCCTAAGATGCTAAATTTGGGTATAGTATTAAATAATTTGGTGCTTAATTCTGATAGCTTCCCAATCCATATCTTTTATTATGTTTTTCTCTTTTCAGAAACATTTTAATGATGCTTGTGTTTTGCAGTTTCTCTTATATGCCTGGTATTTTGCTCTGTGCCTTTAATAATAATATCTCGTACTAAGTAGTTAAATTGGGCATTTCCACCAATCACTCTTGACAAGCCTTGTGATAAAGGATTTTTTGGCAATTAGTTTAAGTTAAACATTCAACTTTTGGACTCATTCTTGTGGTATGTTTGAAGACAGTGGTGGCCAAACAATGTATTTTGCTGAATAACAAACTGCAAACATAGCTGGTTTTTGTTATTATAATGGAGGGATAATTGACATTCTGGTGTTGATATAGTTGATGTTTTACTTAAAGCTTTAAAAGAATTCAAAATACTTTGTTATTTTGCTCTAATACGGACAAATATGTTGGGGATTTTTTTCCAGAAACATTTCTAAGTGGATTTTAAGACTGGAAATTGCATTTACTCTGAAATACAATTCAGTATACAAAGTAGGGACTTGTAAGTTCTCATTATGGGTGAGGAAAGGATAAAGTTCAAACAAAATGTAAATGTGCCTTATAATCACGAATGCTGTGAGTTCTGTAGAGCAAGATGTGCATCTCATGCATCTCTTAAGTGATGGTCCTCTTTTTGGTTTGCTTTGTTGGTGCTGTGGTCAGGGATGAGCGCATCCATGGCTGCAGTCAGCTGTGCCCTGGCCCACCTGCTGCTCACTGACCCGGGGCTGCATTTGGGGCTCTTTTGATCTCAGATACCAGAGATTCCTGCTTTTATTCTTTTTCGGGGTTAAAATCCATGCTTGTGATCATAGTAATTGTTGATGTTGGGCTGCTCCATTTGGATACGTAGACTTTGAGAAGTGCACAAAGATCATTCAGATAAGGTGTTCGAGTTCAGTATCCTTTTTTGGACTCTCTTAATGTGAGAATTACAGTCAAGTATTCTTACAAAAATAAAATCTTTTACTGGGTAATCCATATCTGTAAAACTGTTCGTAGGTTTTGGATAGTTCCTATGAATAACGTTAGCTCTTTTCACCTCTATAAGGATGTTTTTCAACTTGTAAAGAAAAGCTCTTAGGGAAGCTAAACCTGATGAAAGGCTTGCGTAGTTAAAAAGATGCAATTTTTCCAATTATACTGTTGTTCCAATAAAAGATTATATTACAGTAAGCCCATTTTACTTAATATTGTGGGTGCTGTCTGGACATTGTGATAAGAGTGTGTTTTAAAAATATAATTTAAAATAGTGTTTCTGAAGGTGAATAATTCAATCTCAAATGATTGAGGTTTGGGATTTTTGCTTGGTTTTGCTGTGTTTTTTGAGAGCTGATGGCAAAGGTTTGATACTGTGCAAAGAGGTAAAAAGATGATATTTAACAGATATCAGAGCTGCACATGATGAAGCAAGGAAGCATTTGGTTCTCACTGCTGCAGTAAGTAGAGTGATTATAAAGAAATTATGAGTAAAATAGTTGTCTTTTATTTGCAGTTACCTTTTTCCCCAGGCTTTTCTGCATGATCAGTTGAGAGAAAAAGAATATTTATTCCCAATATGTATTTTGTTGTAATTAATTGCTTAGTTTACATTTATTCAGAATTAAAAACAGTATTCTTATATCTTGTCTTGTATTTCTACTGTGGAAATTTTTAGGAAATGTTTACTTTTAATAGAAAAATTTACACTTTTCCAGCATCTTGATATGAATTGTGATAGTGCTTTTGAGCTTTTACTGTACATGGAAAATGTCCTTGCAGTAAAGTAGATTATTTTTTTTTTAATTTTCAAAGTTGTTTTGGGGCAATGGGAAAAAGCCTACATTTGTTTCCTCTCCTGCATTGTTAGCATGGTTAAGAAGCTAAAAAGAAGTCAAGATAATTGAAGGTGCTTTTGTTGTGGAGATTCTTAATATTGCCCAATGTGAAGTTGAACACAGGGTTTTACTGAGAGTATGTATCTGCTTGCACATCTTGCTGTACTGGTTAAATTTGTTATTATCTCAAGTGCTCATCGCTTTCAAAAAGCTGATGTAGCGCAACCATCCCTGGAGTTCTGTGAAATAAGTCGTTTGAATGGGCTTGCATCTGGTTCAGGCAAAATCATCTGGGCTAATTAGAACTGCTGAAACCAACCTGCCTGACCTTTCCCGAAATGAACTGGGAAGCCCTTCGATATGTGCTCAGCCAGCAGAACTGGGAGGCAAAAGCAAGTTGGTGCAGGAAGGGGGATGGGGATGGTGACATTTTGACTCCGCATCGTTTCTTGTGGCAGGAGCAGCTTGTGCGTGCTCAAAAACTGATTTTTTTTTTTACATGTAGGGGTACTGCTTGTTTTCATGGAAAAGCCAGTCCCTCCCCAGTTTTTGTTTGTTCGTAGCAATGCACAAGGTTTATAACAAGTGACTCAGTGAAATGTTCTTTTTACAATGTCTCCTGAAAGTGCAGGCTGGTGGGGCACTGGAATGCGGGGATATCTTTGCTGCTGTTTCCTTCAGCAGTCTGATTCTTCGGAAAAGCATCTTCTTCTGCTTGTGTTTTCCATACCAGAGGTTTACAGAAAAATGTTTATACTACAGCTTCAAACATGTACTGAAATGCTGGAAAACCTAAAGAATTTCTGTGGATTCCTTATATTAGGATCAGATGTGGGAATGTCACATTGAATATCTGCTGTACAAAACTCAGATGATTTTAATGGAAAATAAGTATCTGAAATGGTATGTGCCTAGCAGCCAAATAAAAAAGCAGGGGGAAGGGAATGGACAGAAGAGAAAATTATATAATGGGCCAGAATTACACCTTGATGATGACAAATCCATTTCTCTGCTGTGCTGACAGAGAAAGTGGTACCTGCATTTCTGTCTTCTTTTAATGAGGTCAAACTAGTTTCTGAAGCATAGTGGAGTATTTGAGAGGAGCCTGCAATGCGAACAAGGCAGTAATCCATCTGGTTGAAGTGTCCTGTGGGCTGAGGCAGTTTCGGCTGCAGGGCAGTTTGAACAAAAAGGGGTTTTAAAGTGTGTAACAACACTTTTAATTTCTTCAATAATAACTAATCTGTCAAATGAAACTTGGCTTTTGTTCATTTTTACTAGTCTTTAAGGTAGCCTAGAATGTAAATTGCATTAAGACCAGCGATCTAACTGAGGTTGATGAAGAGGTGCATAAGCGGAACACTGAATTTACAGTATTATTTTGCATAAGAAAACTTATTTCCTTGTGAGTCAAACCAAAGTGATTTCCTTATTAAGGTTAATGAAACAAAACTTACTAACTTTGGTAAAAAGCATTAAAATGTTAAATTTCTGTAGTTCTTATTGTGTTCACTTGTGCTCAGCAGGCTTTTCATGGACAGGATTTAAAACAGTGTGTGGGTATGTGCGTGTCTGTATGTTTGGAACATAACCTTTGTCTTTGAGAAACCACAGATAGGCCTTGACAGTTACAGGTAGCCTGCTTTAGGGTAGGAAGGTATTTGCAACACTTGCCAAATGTGCCACATCGGCTGCAAATGGTGAGGATCAACCTGTCCATGACTCTTTTACCTCATCTGTAACAAGTAATAAAACCCCACTTCTTCTGTGGGTCTCACCACTGAAACTTGTGTAGGCCCCGGCTGGCTTGGGGCCTGCTCGAGTGAAGGGAACAGGAACCCCAGTAGCCTTCAAAGCAGGTTTTGTGCTCCAAATCAGGGTTACATAAACTGTTGGTAACTCTTCCATGCTTGGGAAGAAAGCCTTTAACTTTAGGAACATGTATTATTTGGGGCTGGGGGGGTGGTGGTGTTAATACCTTTTGATGGTATTGCTTAGCAGTCTTGTGTGTGATCTTGAACCTTCCTGAGAAGGGAAAGGGTGGGAATGGACACTGCTGGCAAATCCTAACTGAAAACGCTTAGTTTAAAATTTTGTGGCTGGAAATCTGATGTCAGATGATGACATTTTGTTCCTGTCCGAAATTGCTAAGAGAATAGTTAGTAGCAGGTGACCTTATATCGAAAGAGAGACAAACATTCTTCTTCATGGATGTAATTGTATTGGGAGAAAAGTATTTCTGTGGAATGCAGATGGTTTCTGGAAAGCTTGTGAGAAGCATGTAGCTGAAGAAAGAGGGAATTTGTGAATAAAGGAGTACTTGTCTACTTAGCCTCTACAAAGACTTTTTTTTTTTACCTACAGTATTGTAATTTGAGCTGTATGCTTCTTAAAGAATGTTGTTCCTTGAAAATGCAGAGCTTTTTTGAGGTGTGTAAAGATTACTGGTCTCCTCTCTCCAGTCGGTTTTCTCCTGCACTTATTAGAGGCTGCTGTTACCAACTCATGTAAAACTCTCTCTTCCCTTTATCTGGGTTCTTCATTCTCCTACATGAACAACTTGGAGGCTGGAAGAACAATCCAGAAGTTTTCCTGGTTTTCTAACATGGTATCATTGATCATCTGTATGACAGTAGTCTTTATGTGAGGCGTTCTGTAAGCCTGATAGTTCTTTCCGAACAAGGCTGATTTGGTAAGAGCTGCAGATCACTCCATTGCACATTCATGTAGAAGCATTTTCTGATACCTTACCATGGTTCATTGCCTGTGGCTTAGGAACTAAGTCTCACATAGCTCCTGTTTTAATGCAAAGTGCTGGCGAACAGCTTGTGGTGTTGTGGTCACATATTTTTTGAGTTTCATGTGTTCTTCAAGTTGATCTTCTAAATACAAGATTGTACTTTTTATTTCTGTGAATTTTTGTATGTTAACCTAATAGACTGGTGCAGACATAGCTGACTTAGTCCAAAGCTGATTGAGTCCTCACACTTCTACCCTGGCCTCAGCATGATGCTGAACTAGAACAGAGACAGTGCCATTGAGGATTTATTAAATAATTAATCAATTTTATTTATTTTCCCCATCTCTCACCTGTCAGCAGTCAGTACTTTAGAAACAAAATCCTTTTGAATAAATTATTTCAGCAAGTCTAATATGAAACATTTGTGATGAAGAACCAAAATGTTACATATATATGTTAATTGTTAGTAATTAATAACAGTTCAACTAATTAAAATTACTAATGTTCAATGGTATATTTTCAAAGACAAAACCAAAGAGAGCAAAATTAAGATGGGTGATTCAGACTGGCACTTAAATCGCAGCAGATGCCACGGTGTCAGAAGAGGTCAGCTGTAGAGTGAAGAATACAGTTAACTCTTTTTTTCCCTTTTCTGTACTTTCTCAGAATCTCTTACACAGAGGTAAAGTTATTGGTTATGACAAATGGGATTGTAGAACCATTCAAATCGAAGGGACCTGAGGTATAGTCCAAGCTTCTGCTCTCAGTACCACTGAATTTGGACAACATTGCCTGAAGCTTTGTCAAGTTGGATCTTGATCTGATTATTTCTTACTTCGGTGATTAAGTAAAAGCAGTTAGTTGTCAACTTTATTCTTGTATTGGAGTTACCAATATCTGTGGAAAGAAAAGCATTTAAATGTTAATTAAGCTTCTGAAATATTACATTATTTTTTGAAAACATTCACAGGTGCACGGATTTTGTGAAATATAGGAAGCATGTGAAGCAACAGAGACTATTTTGTAACTGAATATTTCTGGTTTTAGAGCCTCGATGAGTATGAAGATGATGAAGCAGGGCAGAAGGAGCGAAAGAAGGAGGATGCTATTACCCAACAGAATACGATACAGAATGAGAGTTCCAGTGCAGATACCTCTGGCTCATACTTATTACAGGTGAGATCTTAACACTCGTTTGTTTTGATACTTTACTCAGTTTTAAAACTCATACTGCTGCCTTATTTGTACTCCTACTTAACAGTAGATTACACTGTTACAGGTTATAGGAAACAAAGGTGAAGGTCAGGTGTTGTCATGTTACTAAAAATGGTGTTTGAAACAGACCCTTTGAGTCTTCCATAAAGAAGTGCTCTGATGTGAGACCCTTACCATGTTTTTTCATGATGAACACCAACAGAAATATTTCTGCAGAGAAACTGTCTCCTGTGAGCGTGCCTCTTTATAACTTGATCTATTGTCATTGCAGATTCTTTGGCAGGATTCCTCATTCTGAAGTGTTTTTATACTTTTTCCAAGCTGCTTGTTAGACTCTTTCTTATTGTGTTCACTCTGTTTGCACTTCTTCGACAAATATTCTGAAAGTTGTCACTTTTAGTTTCCCCTAGTGGCATTATTACCTAATGCTTTGGCTGTATTCCCATGTTCCGTGTTGTCATCCATATTTTCTATTCTTCTTGTCCAGCAATCTCAGTTTCTATTCACCAGGCTGTCTGTATTAATTGTGTCCTACACAGTTCCAAGTTTGTCACCTCTGTGTTCAAACAGGCACTACTACTTTGTTGACAGAGCACAGCAGGAGGTCCTGTCACCGACAACGCAGTAGCGAGTCCCAGTCCTAGATCTGGCAGAGGCTCAGGATGGCACATGGACACAGCAGATGGAGCCTTACAAAGTTGTAGCTGCTAGGACTTAATCAGTCTATTTCGGACTCTCTCAACTCGCGTTTTATTAGGAGACTTGCAACTTGCCCAATTTGAACAGATTTGACAGCAGTGTTAGTGCAGCTGTGGCAACTTAGTTTCCTTTTGATTCTGCTCTGTGCAACAGTTAATCCCATTCCTAAAAATTCCATACAATTTATGTTTTACATCTGAAAATTCAGTCAATTCTAATTGCCACGAACCCATATCTGTTGTAGTTCCACCTGCTAAGCAGAACACATTTCTGAGTTTATAGGCGTGTTCACCGATTTGTCCATTCCAGTAATAATTTTATATTTGTAAATATATATATTTATTGTGACATTTATGTGGTCAAACACGACAGTTAATATGGACTTAATATATGATGGATAAATATGTTGCTGAATAATATTTTGTTTCCAATGCTTAACCTGACCTTTCAGTTTTATTTTGACATTGCCAGAAGTTGCTGTTGCCCATCTAATGGACAAAATGCACAGTTTTTTGAAACTCTGGCTGAATTTGAAGTCCTTGATCCAAAGCAGAGAGAGATACGTGATTTGTTTAAGAATAGATCTGAAAATAAATCAGAGCTGAGACTATTTTTTCCTGTAGCAGGACTGTAGCTGAAATCAGCTTCTCAATTATTTTACATTGGAAATATGGAAGATGACAGATTTGGCAATCTTGTAAACATTGAAAAACCATTACAATCAGAACTGTTACTTAACTGTTACTTTAGTTAAGATGGTGTGGAAAGCCCCACCTCACTGGGTGAATCAACACTTAATCCACTCCCAAACACAAAGCAAGTGTTATGTCTGGCTCTGACTTCCTTGCTTGACTTTTCTGCTGTATTTAATGCTGTAGTTCAGGGGTTCTCAGCTTGTGGGTCACTGTGCTGTGGACTGCTACTACTCACTGATGTGTACGGGGGTGCAGACCAAGAGTAATGTTATATGTAATGAAGCTAAGAACTCTTACAAATAAGAAAGTATTTGATATCAGTGTCTTCCTAGCAGTTGTCTAGAAATGAAGTTATATTTAGGGTAATGAACACCACCTCTTTTCATATTTGAAGAAGATGTTAATGTGTGCTCGGTATAAAGACAGCATGCATCAAAAAACCTACAAGATTTGGCTGATGATTTTTTTTAAAGTCTCTTAGAAGCCTGGCTGAATTCCAGAAGGTTGAAAAACGCTACTATTATGCTAATACTCAAACCCAATAAGCATATGCAAGGCCTTGCATTTTTTGTGGAAGAATCCAGGTTGTGCTGATTCCATGGTCACCATGGTCTTCTGCCTCCTGGAACTCAGTTGTTTGGGGAATATTTTAGGAGACTGGATGGACAAATGTGTTCCCTTCTTGGTGTAATCCTGTGGCAGGAAGGGTTAATACGACTTCTGCATCATTATAGAAGTGATATCTGAGCATGGTACCTTATTGTGTTGTCTATTACTTTGTGGTGCTCTTGGAAAATTGGAGAGCAGATTAAGAAGGCTGAGAAGATTAATCCATCCCTTAAAACCTTCAAATCACAACTGGCTGTTTTTCTGGAAATTATGCCATAATCACACAGAGCTGTCATTCCCAATACTTTGCTTCACATTATCTTTGATTCTTTTCTGCTCTCATTTTATTTCAAATGTTGTAGTGTCTATGAGTGCTACTTCTTGTGCTATGCACTGTACAAACAGACTGCAGAAACTGTCCTCAGCTGTGAACAGTTTGACATTTAAGTGTAAGATTTGGGAACAGCTGAGTAAATATTTATTGTCAAAAGTGCCAGGAAACAATAAGGTATTTGATATCTTCACAGTTGTTTTTGACATTGGCATGGTGATAGGTTTTACTGTGTTCTAGATGTGTGTTTTTTCTCCCTGCTGACGACAAAAGGGGTTTCACTAGATCAGATGTAGGTGTCTTAATTTAGATGGGCTGAATCCTTTCCTCTCACTGGCAAACCTGGACCAAGCACATCAGAATGATTTTTGCTACTGATATAGCTTGGAAATAGAGAACAATCAGAGGGAGCATGAGATACCAGTTTTTGTGCCTGTGAGCATGAAAAGGGGAAGCTCTGAGTCACTTCAATAATGAGGGTCAACCTTCACGAAATAAATACTCTGAATCCTTCAAGTGAAAGGTAACGATTTATAAAAATAAGAATGACTTAGAGTATCCTGCTGTAAAAAGGAAATGCTGATCTTTATAATTGTCACATAGTAGCAAAATTTGTCCAGTGTATTTCTTAATTTCTAGTTAAGAAATTGCAGATCATGACTATTGCAGTTACCAATACCTTCTGTGTTTGGATTGACTACTGAAGATCTCTCTATGGTGATCTGCTAGAAACTCGCTCTTGGATTTGTACTGCTGGCATGAAACTGGTAGAGGAATTTTGCTTCTCAAGCATTCTGAAGCCTGTGATCCCAACGGGAGACAGAACTCGCTCTTTTTGTTAAGCCACACCAACAGTTTTGCTGTACCTGATGGCGTATTCTATACAGCTGCGAAGCCCAGGGCCTCGTTAAGGACCCTTGTGCTCTAGGTAGAAATTGTGATCAAATTGTTCCAACCATTAATTTGTGTATGCAATTGTAATGGGCATTTGAGGGTTGGACTAGATGATCTTTAAGGTCCCTTCAAACCCAAACCTAATGGTATAACTATAAATTAGTGCCACAGCAGATTGGGTTCATCGTAGTTAACTTCAATAGTGAATAGGTTGGATGGCTGATGAAGTCACCTGAACTTGATTTATTAGCATGACCATTTAGTTGTAAGTTATCCAAGAGCCTATGAAAACTGAAGGAAAACGACATCTGATCTTTTTTTAACCTTTTGTTCTAAAAAAGCTTAACATTTCACCAGAACATTGCTGGCAATTTCTAAGAGGAACATGGTTCAAAGAGATTTCCACAGAAGTGCTCTGGTGCTTAAACACCTTTACTTCAGATGTGACCCAACACGTTGAAATTTTCTGAAGCGGTGATATATGCCAGTGTTACAAAGCTGTAATTGTTTAATAGAGGCACCTTATAAGCTATGCTGAAAGCAGTAAATAAAATATATTTAGAGAATAAATGTCTCCAGTGACTTGTTAGCTGTATGTGTGAGGAACACGGGGAGCTGAAGAGTTACATGCATCTCCATTAGGAAACGCAGCTGAAAACCTGCTTCACACAAGCTTCCCCAGAGCTTTGTACTTGCATCTTATGCCAAGAATATGGTGCCAAATAAGCTTCCCAACTGGCATTGCAGTTTATACCTGTCTATTTTGCATTTCCTGACTCTTTATTTGTGTTGCAGTGTAATGTCTTATGGCGTCGTTTTGCAATTACTCTCATTATCCAGAGTATGTGGTAATTATGTTCTTACCTGACCACAGCTTCTCAAAGGTGTTTTGAATCTAGGTTGCACGTAGTTCTTGCAAAGGAGAACTGCGTGCATGCATTCAAGAGTTAGTAATACATCTTTTATAAGTACATTGTCATGATGTTACTTGGTGTTAATTTCTGTCCATAGAGAAATTGCAGTTGTGCTACAGGGCATGCCCAAATGTGTTAGGGCGTGTGTTTTATGTTCTGTGCTGTGTTTCTTCAGATGCTTGGCCAAGGATTATTTTGCATAATAATGTGTTTATAACATTGGTAGTATTTTTAAAAAGTGAGTAAACCAAATGTGATTAGAATACAGAAATATGTAAATTGGGAGGAGCTGTGTTTGAGTACATGAAGTTTTATGTAATTCTGCCAGATCAGGTTATAGGACTCTAATATTTGACAGTTAATTACCAGATAGTATTAATCTTGAGTTTTCTGTTTGCAGATTGAGAATGTGACCCACTTCACAGGGATGGTATGAAAACAGTCGTCAGTACTCGCAAAGCACTTACGCAATAGTAGTGAACACAGTAGAAAGACTCATGAGGAAATCTTAATGTATGTCTAAAAAATTTTCCTATAAGAATGTGTTAAAAAGTATTCAAATTCAATGTAGCTTAAGTATTAAAAGATCACTCAAATTTTAAAATATATTTGCATATAAATTAATTCTTGTGTGTGCAGTGTTTTTAAAGTAAATGACATGAGTTGCACAGAATTTTCTGCCCCGCACAGTTCATGACAGCAGCCAGGAGCTTCAGCTGAGTACTGTGTCCAGCTCTGAGCCCTCAGTACAAGAAGGACATGGGAGTGTTGTAGCAGGTCCAGAGGAGAGCCACAAAAGTGATTCAGGGGCTGGAGCAC